CTACCTTTCCAGTGTCCCCCACCCCCCCACCCAGCTGCTGTGTCACCTGCAAAATGCACATGTCTAAAACCTGTACTTATACAGGATTAATAATTGCTCCCTCCCTTATGTGACAGTGTTTGGAAATACTGGGGATATCTCAGCTCTCCTGCAGATAAGAGTAGCAGTGGAATGCAGCTCTCCTGTAGGTGAAAAGAGTAGCAGGGCAGTGCAGCAGAGGTGAATATCAGTGTGTGGGGAATTAAAAGTGCCCTAGAAAGAGAACCCGTCACTTTGCCCCTGAATGGCTCCAACCCAGGAGGGTGCTTTCCCACTTTACAGTTTCATGCAAAAAGATGTAGTAAAAGCTAGTGTATTACTCACTGATGGCTCCAGTGTAAGTTGGTTGTGTGAGATCTTTGGGCACCTTCCGGTAGATGTCAAACCTTCAGGAGGAAAAAAAAAAAAGTGGTTACATTTTAACAAAACTTGTATGCAAGAAAATGTATGACTGCAACTAACAATATGTTGTAAACCATCAGAGATGATAGAAAACAAATGAACGAACAGGTCCCTGGACTTCCCATTCCAGGAGACAGAAAACATGTGCTTCCACTCACAATAGAAAAGGCTCCAAAAAGCAAGGCTCTACCTACAACTTTAATGCGCATTGTTTACATGGCTCCAGAGATTTGCTCATCTCTAGTCAGAGTCAAATAGAAAGAATATTGTGTTTTTAGTGAGCACATATTTGTAACTATTATTGCAAAGTTTACAGTAAGGGCTCAGTCACAGAAGCATATTTAGGCAGGGTGCCCTGTTCATGCACCCGTGGAAGCATAGGTGTTCTGTGCAGTCGCCTGCGGAAATTAACAATAGGCTGCATAGATCTTCCGTGGGCTGAACGAGACAGACGCTCAATTCCCCCATCGACACATAACCCTGTTGGCTATTGTAACACCCACAGCTGTCAAAGTACCTGAACAGTTAATGCGGTTGCTTAGCTGCAGTCACTGTTCAGCCACCAACTTTTGGCCTGGCTCCTTTGAGAAAAGTTGATTGCCAAACATAGCTCAAATTTCAAGTGTATGGCCAACTTTAAAGCCACACTGATAAACTGGGTTTGTACATGATCCCTAAAAAGCTGTGCGCTATGTGCAAAGGGCTGCTGCAAAGTAAGATAATCTTACCTTGCAGCATGCTTGCTAGTGCACATAACATCGAGCTTCCAGGCACTCAAGAGGGACAGATGCGACTCTAGCAGTAGAGCGCTGCAGTCACATTACCCACCCTACCTCAATGTTGCCCATTTAAAAAATGCCTTCTGAAAAGAAAAAAAAATTATTTTTTTTTTAAATCCAGCAATTAAATATAATCTCAGAACCATCACACAACATAGAAGTAGAACTTTTTAAACATAGATATGTTCACATCCAACAGTAGCTACTTTCTTATACAAATTGCGTAAAAAAGAAGTCTGTCCCCAAATTGTGTTAAAAATAAAGTGACAGATTAGCAATTGCAAACAGGACAAGCTATCCTTTAAATAAGTAGGGAGATTTCACCAGGGTCCATATGCTTTTTAAGTAGCCACTGAGGTTATTTTTCACCAACATTAGTCAATCGTCGCATCCCTAAGCTCAAAACATCAACTAATCTCCACAGATGTCGAGTGGAAAATTCCATCAGGGAAAAGGTACTGATCTCTCATTAGTGATAAGCAGGCTACTCCTCTATGGCATTTCAATGCAACATAATGTGGCCAAAAAGGACAATTCATGCCAGCTAAGATTCTCCAAAGCAAAATGACAGAACACGTCACACAATGCATAGCTTATGTTTTTAAAAATAAAGTCCTAAGGTACTTGCAGACGAATAGTACATATAGTAAGAATAATTACCAAGGTACACTGTGGTCAAAACTGACCACTAACTCTGCAATCATTGAGAAATGAAAGATAAGCTCACAACACAAACAATGTAGTTCTCCAATGTAGTTCCACGGAACACTGGTGCACATAGGTTGTGGATCCAGTAAAAATCTTCTTTATGTATTCAAAGCATAAGACTAGACACAGCAGTCCTCTAATGCATTTCAGCCAAAAAGGCTGAAACACATTGGGACTTCTACGTCTGGTCTTGTGCTTAGAATAAAATAAAGATTTTTACTGGATCCAGAACCATGTGCAAAGCACTTTTTTCTACTACCGTGGAGAGATTACGCAAAACCCAAACTGGGAAAAATTGGGTGGAATTTTGAATTGTAGCTCAGCCACAGTGTACATCTAAAAAGGCATTCTACTCACATGTAAAAGAAATAAATATCAACATTTTAAAATGTGCCTAATTTATTTAGGAATGATCTACACAATTTAATTGTTATGCTATTGGCAGGTAAGACTGCTAATGCCTTGCTTGGTACAACATTATATTACACTGATGCAGTGCAAGCTCAGTCAGGAGGGACAGACCCACTCCCTCATGGGCTACTTTAATCTATCTATGACAATGTCAAGATTACGCCATTCAAATCCCTTATGGCCCAGAAAAAAAAAAGAAGATACAGCAGCCTTCTTTTTCCACTTTCCCTTCCAAAATCAACAAGCCATCCAACTCCCTCCACGTAAACTGAATTAGAAAAAGGTCCACAGAAATGAGTGCACGGGCTGGCAGCCAAGCAAGCCGACAGCTCACTGATTTGGCACAGATCTGTAGGGACTTTAATAAAAGGTTTTGACATGCCATTGCTAAAGCAGTTTATCCTAAGGTTAATCTTATGTGTTTCACAAATGAAGAACAGTGTACAATTGGAGCTTGTTAAAAGAACCTTAATCTAGGGTGTGCAATGAGTGGGGGAGGAGGTTAAACTTCTTGGGATAATCAGTTATAGAATAAACACTCTTAGAAAGGTGGTTTCAGGGCTTTAATAAAGCAAGCCATTACCTTCTGTCCGCATAGAACTTAAACTAAGGAAGGTTTGCCTGAAGTCAAAGGACAGATTCCATTCAATTTACCTAGCAATAACCTACATGTAACTTGCCACTAGGGATGCACAGATACTTTGAGTACCAATGCCGATACTTGGCATTTTCATGAGAACTACCAGGGTTGCTGCGGTTGCAGCTGGGACCTGGCTCTGGCACTCCACCACTGTCCTGAAATCATTAGTCTCTATTGTTTTAGAAAAACTGTCACATGACACTAAACAAAAATGTATCAGTACTCGTACTTGTAAGTACTTGGGCAGGAATCAGTACTTGTAAAAATGGTATCGGTGCATCCCTTTAGTTATATTTATAAAAATAAAATCATACATTAAAACAGAGATGTACAAATCCCAGGAGCTCCGTGTGCTCCTTACAAATGACAGCTGCCTCCTAGCTTTTGAATTTTTCTCTAGTCTAGTCTTGGAACTCAAAAAGTATCAGTACTTGTACCAAGTACTGTACTTGGTATCAGTGCATCCCTACTTGCCATGCTTTAAAATCAGCATCAATCTAAAGCAGTACTATTCTATATACAAGGAGAAGATTCTAGAATTGTGTAGGCTGAGAAAATGCATGTTGAATATGGGTAGAGGAATGATCACTAGTAGCTGGATGTAGATTAATGTCCAGTCACCAGCTTATGTCTATAGTACCGAACAAATGGGATTTCTAGGACCGAAAGTATGAGAAATGTTTCGGTTAGGACCCTTTTGTTAAGTAACACAAAGTCCTCTAGCCATACATGTATTGAATTTTGGTCGTTTTTGCTGAATCTTGGAAAATATGGTTCCAATCGGCTTTTGTCAAAGGAGGAAAATGGTTGGCCAGTCAGCTGCATTGACTGTGTATTTGGACAGCCACAGGAGCTGGCTATTAGAATACAACAGCTAGCAGGAAAGATTCCTCCATCTATGCTGTTCAGCACGGATGGGGGAAGTGAACAGAACATTTGTAACGTGTATGCACAGCTTTTGGACCCCTTACAAAAACCCCAGCTGTGGTAAAACCACAAATCCCATCATGCATCTGCCTCAAAAGTCATGCATGTGGCTGTCAGAGTCTTGCAATGCCTAAAAGAATTGGTAGTTGCACTGCAGATGGAGGGCCTGGGTTTGCCTACCCCTGCTCTATAATACTCTCCTTCGAACTCCCTTTAAAATGGATATCTGTCCAGTAACTACTTAGATGTGTATACTACTCACCCCTGTGCACCCTTGTGCACCCTTGTTTTGCTATCCATTCTGACTAACAGACTGAAAATTAAGAAAAGCACTTTTGTATGGTAAATCATTCAGACAATTAATTAGTCACCCAATCACTTTAAAATATCCCCTCTCTAACAACACCTAGACACTAAAAATGACTGACAAGCATGGCGGTAAACAGATAGCCACTGAAAAAGTCCCTAAAATACATTAATGCATCACTATTGTAGACTCAACTTTAGTGTAGTAACAGTAAACAGCCAGCAGAGGGACCATTGTGTCCTATTCCGATTTTTACAACTACACTATTGTTCATTAATTTTATTAAAGCATGTCACCATTAATAAAAAGTATTCCTGGTCATAGATGCCTACACTATGCCTGGCAGAGTATTTTACCCATAGCAGTCCTTACAAAACCGAAGACCAAATCTCTGTGGTGGCACCAACAAACTTGCTCGTTACCCTTGATTTAAATTTTTCAGAAACGGAGTGATTACAGAGACTGTGGACATATATTTACCATGATCTCTATAAAGTCAGCCTTGGTAAGATTAGAGGACATTTAAAGCACACTAGATATAAAGCCCAGAACCCCCTTAAGAGTTCATTCACACTGCATCGACTGAACAGCACCCTTTCACAGCACAGCAAGGGGAATTTATCAAAACTGGAGCAGACAGAATCTGTGAATGGTAACCAATCAGCTTCTAACTTTCATTTTCACATCTTAACTAAACTAATGGAAGAGAGAAGCTGATTGGTTGAAAAGCGCAACTGCTCCAGATTCTGTCTACTCCAGTTTTGATACATTCCCTTCCAGTGAGTATAAAAAAGCATGGGACAATGTGCATAGCTGCATGGGTTATGGTGTAAAACCCTTAAAGCTGAACTCGGGGACAAGCCAATATCATCTAAAATACAAGATGCGTGTGTATTCTTAAATCTCAGTGTGCTTTATGTATTTCTTCCACATCTGTGCAGTAATCCAGTGTGGAACTTTACCTCTGTGCATGAGCTTTCTGTAACAAAGACCAGCCACTGCTGTGCTCTCTCTTTGTGCAGGGTGACTGGTCTTGTATCCGCCCCCTCCTGTCGTTTTCTGTAGTGGGTGGGGCCTGCTGGGTCACTCCCCAGATCTGCTCTCTGCATAGGTTATGTTCAGCATGGTAATGATGTCACTGCTACGTTTATCATGTAGTAATACCTGGGTTTGTAAAGGCATTTTTTTGTACACAAAGTGTGTTGATATCTT